TCGACAGTAGTAACAATTAGCCAGCAAACTATGTTTGCTGGCGTTCAATGGGATAAAAACGGTCGTGCGGGCCATTTTGATGCGAGATTCGCGTTTGCAAGTGATTGAAAAGCAACAGCTCATACTGATTGAGATAGAGCTGGAGATGAGTAGGGATGGAGAGCCCGAGCCCAGCTTTTCAGAAACGGACCAAAGGATGAAACTAGCATTTTCTAAAGTATACCGTACACGCGAATTCAATTGCATTCCCGCACACGATGGCAATGTCTCTAATTTGCGTTCAACTCGAGACCGCATACCGAAACACTAGCCTGCAAGGTAGCTCCGTTCTCGAGTGCAAACATGTCCGGGCTATCTACAGAGTTCACATTGAGTCCAGGCGCGCCGATAATTTGATCAAACGAAAAGACCTTGGCACCCGTCTTGGACTTCCCATCGTAAAGCCTCAGCTCAATATCTGACTTCGCAGCAGCCATTTCACCGGTAAGAGGCATGCGGAAGGCCGTGTCTAAGGCCGGATTGCACGGGTCTAGGCCGGGCATGTCCGTCACTACGGGTGTGGCAAATTCTTGGCCCGCAAACGACACCTTCACACTGGAAGCAAGTGACTCCCGGTCGCCAGGGACCTTCTTGACTCCCGCAACGATGACTGTGAGCAACCCAACCATTCGGTCTTTTGCATTGGGTTCCGCTTGCTCGAAGCTGTTGATGTTAGGAACATAGTTGTAGATATCAGCCTTTACGGTGACGCTTGCGCCGGTAGGCTTGCCCCCTGAAGTGTCGCAAAGCTTGACTTCAGCAGTCTTGCCCTTTTGCAGTAGTTCTTTCACATTGATAGAACCAAAGCCAAGTGTGTCGTCGTTCACAAGGTCATCGTCAAGAGCATCGATAGAGATGATTTGCTCGAGGTCGGAGAACAAGAAGTCACGGGTCTCGTTCCACTCCGGGGTCTCAGAATTGTTAATGGCACTGGTATTCCAAATTGCAGAAGCACCTAGGCGGATCTGGCAACACACATCCGGCACGTCCTTGAAAAAGCCTTTTGGCGTGGTAAAGCCTTTTCCACTGACGCAGGTAAGACGCAAAACGCCCAAGTCGGTTTGAAAACTCTTGAAGTAATCGTTTGCGGGATCCATCTTGATGAGCATGCGATTCGGCAGCACTAGAATCGAGGCGAGAATATCGTGAATGGCCTTCCTAACACATTTCTTGATAAGGGAGAAATCGGCAAGATCGGCGGCGCCAGTGAAGTCCAGCTCGAAGAGGGGCGGGTTGATGAAGGCGACCTGCATGGCTGAGAACGGAGGGATGGCCGGCACAAGCGGGCAGAAGACGATGCTCATGCGGCCGCTGAGCCTGACTTTCTCGACGCCCACGCCGGGGAGGCCGCTCGCGTCGAGCTCGACGTCGCACTCACCGTGCCAGCTAATGTCGACGTCCAGCTTGACAGAGTCTTTAGAACGGGAGTGGACATCGATGTTGTCGAAGGTCATGGGGATCTTGCCGAGGTCGATCTTAGTGAAGTGCAACGACTTGAGCGGGCCCGGGAGCATCTCCGCGAAGATGGGCTCGACAATTTCCTTGACTAACTTGGCGGCGCCGATGTTGATGTAGTTCCACATCTGAGCGACCATGTCGTTGAGGAAGCCGACGCTTTCCGCGCCACTAGGTGCAATCTCTGGAGCCATTTTTTGGGGGTCTTGGTCGAGAAGTGGGTGTCGAAGGAGGGGAACAGTTGGAGAAGAGGAAGAAAGTAGAGTTGTGTAGTCGCGACGACAGTGCTAGCTAATGTAGAGTTGAAGGGGAGAGTGATGTGACCCCGTATCTACTTTATAGCATTTCACAAGAGTCGCGGGGTGGAAGGTAATGTATCGTACATGTCCAGTATGCGGTGAGGTGATGTAGTACGGCCGTGTCAGCGGAGGTGAGAGGGAGGACTCAAAGTCCAAAGTGAATCCATCTTGGCACCGATCTCACACGTATTCCATGCGGCAGAGATAAAAATCCGGGCCAACCTGAGATCCGTAATACGTTGTGATGGGCATCGATTGGCCCCGTTAGTCCGTTATGACAGGTGTATGGTGCAGGACTGCCTCCAGCTGAGACTCTCGAGTTGCCTGACAGTGCTACCGAAAACTCTGTCGGCGTTTTAGCAAGACTGTGAGCGACACAATGCCATCATGATCACAGCTGACTGCCTTCTACAGAAGCAAGCAAGATGCCCTAATAAAAACATTACAGAAGTACCGTACTTCTACTGCCCCTTATCTCTTACTCTACGAAGTACGAAGACACCACCGAAACTCTTTTTATTGTGCCGTAGAGACCTCATAGGTGAGCGGTGTTTGGATGGCGTCTGCTCGTTCATACAAGCGACGGCGATTCCATGTGGAGAATAGGTGCAGAATTCTCTTTGTAACAACATCCCAAAATAGTGAATCTCGACCCAAATTACAAGTGACACTGCAGCATACTGCAGCATATAGTGTACCGTACAATCGCAAAGCCCAATTCTTCCACGCCGCCATCGTCGAAAGGTAAGCAATATAGCAGTCGACTTTTTGAGCGTCAGAACTATACCCGCGTGTACAGTATTATAAAGATTAAGATGTCCTTCCTTCGCTCTGCACCAGACAAGATTGGAATACATATCATTCAATGTCCTCTTCCCCACCTATCACCAATACAAGTCCGGTTGCAGCGAGAGTCGTGCAGCATGGTGGCACTTCCCACATGCATCCAAGAAATTTCTTTACAAGGGCACAATTTGTATGCTCATCCTTGTGATCCAGCATATGGCGGCCATACTCTTCTGCGCCCAGATTGGTGCCCTTTCTTGACAAACAAATAAACCATCATAATCAATGTAGATTGCTTCAACTAATCCTTCCATTACAAGACGTTGCATGCTCCTACCCCGACAATTCAAGATTCCTCGCTCAACGTCCATGAACGAGCAGCCACAGTGTAATTTGAAAAAAAAACTCCTCTATAAACAAAGGCGGAACAAACTAAATTGGGTCAGAGCAGGACCGGAGACCTTTCATAGTTTGGAGATCTCTTCTTACTTTCTGGTTACGCATTACGATGGATGATTATAGGTGGTCTGGCTTGCAACCAATAAAAATGTTTTGCGTAGGGAATCTTTCAAGAATTTTCTTCAGGATGTTGCTGACAGTTTTTTCCTCTGACAAAGGCTCTGATCGTCGTGTAAGTCATTCCATCTGTTGAATTACTTCTCGTGGGCAAGCAACTTCATTTTAAGAAACTTCGACAAACGTTCCGGCGTGAAGGCATAGAACTAAAGTTCTACACCGTTCAGAGTAATGACCTCATCCAGAAAAGTACCTGCCGAATGGCATCACGGAGGAACGGAAATTGGGTCTCCGGCTCTTTGCTGAGAATGACATGGAAACGTCAAAACTATGGCGTGTAAAAAGTAAAAGACTGACGCTTCGGTTACAAGTTGGGTAATATAGGCAAGATCACGAGGCAATGTATTACGTACCTATTCTTGTGCATTCTAGCACACATTTCCTATTCATTGAACTATGATGGTGCCTTTCGCGGTCTCTGGAGTCAAGTCTTTGTTGGATGCGCAGTTGAGCTGCAAGTATGACAACCATGCCATGTTAGACGGGGATCAATTTCTGCTTGATGCATCCACAGATGCAAGGTGAAGCTTCTTGTTACTTTTGACTGTGACGTCTCACATTGTCCGAATACATCAACCACGTACTGTATCCGAACCAAATCTGACCACATCCAAATGACAGAAATTGTTTGTTTCTTGTATGTTACCGATAAGTGTGATTGTGAAGAAAACGAAATTGTCGCAGACTGAAGAGTGCTGCCGTTTTGACATCTCACGGGAGTGAAGCGCTAAAAGCTGATGCAAGATGGTTGGCGTCTGTCCTGACTTGGCGTATCATCCCAGTTAACGCGGGAAGACAAAGTGAATGCACATACCACAGTGTGCACATGGGCAACGGACTGTACAATGTGCAGCGAGGGTCTCCAAAATGGGAAGCGAAGCTCCCCTCAAAAGCATACAAGGGTTTTATAAAAGCCAGCTAGTTGCCGTCACCGCTCGGCCTGAACAATGCATTCTTGACGTACATGGACATCATGGACTGCATATGTTCACTGCAGCACTTTTGGGCATCCTTTGAAATCTGCTCAAACTGCCCGCCATTCTTCCCAGAAGCCGCCTTCTTATCGGAAATGTAGTACCCCCCGCGGCTATGGGGGTTTGCCTTTTCGAGCTGGCGATCTGCCTGATTGATCTTCCTGCCTAAATCGTTCAACTGCTGCACGACATAATCTTTGCTCTGCACCAGCGGGGATGTGGACAAGGACCTCGCCCAGTATTTGTTCCAGAGCAGATCGAGCAGGGTGGAATCCAAACTGCTCTTAAAATATGACACGTCGAGCTGATAGTAGCTCTTGCAATGCACGCCAAAGTCCTCAATCTTGTTAATAGGAATCGTTTGATACTCACTCGGCCCCTCATCGCGCGGCTTGTGCTGCGGCGGGTATGTGCGAAAGGCGCCAAGATCAACCTTCCCTGCTGAAATCGTCCTGACAGGATCGACAACGATGGCCAAAAACGGGTCGCAATGGGTCTGATTGGTATTCTGCGTCTGAACGTCAATCCCGCTCAACCAGCAGCCGTACCCGGGATGTGAGTGATACCACCCCACGATAGTCTCTCTCCTTCCTACTTTCCGGCACTCGAGACTATAATCCACCAAAAAGACATTTCCATCCTCTAGCGCATTCACCCTGGTCTCGGTCCCCTGGACTGGGAGCGGGAAGACATCCATGACAATGAAGGCGTGCTCTGCAATCTTGCCCTGCATAGAGCCCATGACCTCGATGGTGCCGCCTGAGCGGGCATGCATGGCCATTTTTATCAAGGCGATGGCCGAAATGTGGACCTCCTTGAACCAGTGCGGGTCCTGTGCCCAAGGCTTCTTTTTGCGCCACTGCTCCTGCTCGGTTACGTCACAGAAGTAGCGTGCGTCGTCCTCTTGGGCAACGCTGCGCATGTTGTTCTCCAGCTCGAAGGTGCGGCGCGCGTCCGCCGAATTCATCGTGGTCGGGAAGGCCGGCGACGGTGACAGAGCGAGATGATTGAAGGCGGAGTGGGGAGGAGAAGTGGTCAAGTGAGGTGGGCAAGATTGTGCCCGCCGATGCGGAAGCCGATAGAGCTTGAGTAAAATCTCAGAGCATGGCGCAAGAACGTGGCTGGAACCGGACATAATACCGTACAGTATAATCATTTTTCGAGCCAAAAATACTGTATTTCGCAGCAGAACACAGCCAGCAATGTACCATCCGCACCCAACAAACCAGACACTACCCAAGGGTATCTCCCTCCCCAAGATACAACTTGACATCCGGAACCCCTCTCCCGCCTCCGTCCCTCTGCACTCGACGAGGCTCTCCTCCCCAACGCTCGTGCCCACCCTACTCAAGCGATGCCACTAGCCTACCCGCGCTTCCCGATCGTCTCCAACACCGGTGCCACAGCGCGCGACGCGCTCGCGAACGAGCGCACGTTCCTGGCCTGGCTGCGCACCGCGGTCACTGCGATAAGCACCGGAGGTAAGCCTGCCTGCCCCCTCTCGGCGCCGCCAACACAAGCTAACCGTGCCCAGCCGTTCTCTCCGGGCTCGACACGTCGAGCCTCTCCACGATTGCGTCTGCGTTGTTCATCGCGCAAGGCGGGCTGATCCTTCTCTACGCGGCGCCACGCTACTACCACACGCTGCATCTGCTGCGCTCGTCGCGCTTCGCGCCGGACGTATTCGGGCCCGCATTTCTGTCACTGATCACGCTCGCGACGGGCGGGGCTGCGCTGGCATTTGTGCTGCGGTGATGTTCGGTGCCGTGGCGATGCATGGGACTATGCTGCGGGACTTGCATGCGCGGGAGCGCACGTTGTTGGCGTATGTCAGGACGGCGGGGTACCTCTTTTTGGCTGGGATGGCCGTCAGTAAGCTGTTTGAGGGGCGTGTGGTGCAGACCGCGGCCGTGGTGTGTGTGCTGGCCGGGATGGTGCTCACCGTCGTGGGGACCGTGAGCTTTGTGCGGTTTTGCGTTTGTATTAGGTACGGCGTTTATGTTGAAATGAGCATCCTGGGGGCGTGGTCGGTCACAGCGGTGGCCGTGGTCGTGGCGGGGGTTACAGCAGCGTTGCTTGTCGAGGGCAGGTGAGGGCGGAGGGGACAAGGCGGTATTTCTACTGTTTAGACAGGTTTCGAGGAGGTGAGGACCGTTCGCCAAAGTGGACACGATGGAGAAGAGGCAGATTAGTAGCTGCTATATCAAGGAGCGCTTGAGCTTCTAGTTCGTCGTTGGTTTTGAAGGATGCAGGCTTTGGGTTGAGTTGAGGCATTTTTGGTGCAAGGATGCGGCGTGAAGGGATGTGACGTGGCGTGACTTGGTGTGCTATGAATTTTGGTTGCGGTTATTGCTTTCCGCTCGCAGAATTTGAAGCAGACTGCAAGTCGCGGCGTTAAAACCCACTTGCACCAGCGACTCTATTCGCGCAAGTGAAGACGTCACGCCCAACATTCCATCTAAACGGGCGTGGCGGCCTCCACCCAGCGTGATATCAAATCTTATTCTCGATTCACTACAGCGAGAGAGGACTCGCTGTTTCTTTTGCTGTACCACACTGTACTCTATACACGTGTCCACCTGTTCCCCACTCTTGATCTCATCATCGTTCACTATGATTCCCCAACCCTCTTCCCCCCCTCCCACTCCCCCCCACCCCCTTGCATCATTCCCGATGCGCCTCCTCCGGCCCCCCGCCTTCTGCCTCACCCACCTTCCCCCTCGCCGCATCCTCACGCCTACCAAGATGTCCACCTCCCCCCGCAAACCCTTCGCGCCACCCGCGCGCCCTCTCCACTACGTCGTTGCCTCAAAGGCGTCTCAAATCGACGCCAAGCTAATGTCGCCGCCGTACTCCTTCACGCTCGACCAACTCATGGAGCTCGCAGGCCAATCCGTCTCGCACGCCATCTTCCACACGCACCCGCCGCCCGCCCGCGTGACCCTCGTCTGCGGGCCGGGCAACAACGGCGGGGACGGCCTCGTCGCCGCGCGCCACCTGCACCACTTCGGCTACGCGGTCACGGTGCACTACCCCAAGCGAGCGGCGCGGCCGCCCTTCGAGGCGCTGGTGCAGCAGCTGGGCGTGTTGGATGTGCCCGTGGACTCGGGGCTCCCGCTCGCCGCAGCGGACGTCGTCGTCGACGCCGTGTTCGGCTTCGGCTTCCGCGTCGCCGGAGGCGTGCGCGAGCCGTTTGGCCGGTTTCTGGCCGCGATGAACGAGGCGGAGGGCGTGCTGCTCGCCGTCGACGTGCCCAGCGGGTGGGAGGTGGATGGCGGCGGCAAGGCAGAAGGTGCAGTGCGCACACCGGATGTGCTGGTGTCGCTCACAGCGCCGAAGCTGTGCGCCAGGGGGCTGCACGGCGTGCAGCACTGGGTTGGCGGCAGGTTTGTGCCGAGACGGCTGTGTGAGGAATTGGCGTTTGAGGTGCCGGAGTATCCGGGGATTGAGGGCGTTGTGAGGGTGCAGTGAGGGCGTAGGGGGAGAGAGAAGGGGTAGGGAGAGGAAGGGGTGAGACCTGTGGGTTTGTCTCACGGCTGATTCCCTAAACAATTATGGCACATACAATATATCAGCCAGGGTACGGTACAACCTGCGACATCAGCACAGTGCGACGGTGACGGTGCCAGCGCAACACAGTATGTCGCCAAAAGCAACCCACCAGCTCCTGCATGGTGTCGTGATGTTTGACGCTACAGTGATACCCCACAATTCTGTGGAAATCCTTTCAAATATATTCTACACGTGCACAAGAAATATGTTCACGATTTTGCTCATGATGTGTGCGTTGTAGCTAACGCCGCAGGTGACCTCACCTCCATCGATGTCCGAGAGGAGGCTCTTGGGAGGCTCTTGAGAGCCTCCTTTCGGACATCGATGTTGACATCAACAGGGACCAGTACTTTAACATGACCTGTTGACAGGTTGACATCAACAGGTGGAACCACCTCGAAAATACATTCGTGAAAATAAGAAGCGCCGCCTCCGCAGTTTCGGGAAGTAATGCGTTTTCTGATAGCAGTTGAGACAGTACGTTTCGAATTGGTACCATCTTGGAATCAACCATTGATGCCTTAAGAAAACACCTGTATCGAGCGCAGAAGATACGGTCTTCGTGCTTGGATATCGGGTCCACACAAATAATTCTTTCAATCTTTCTTTGTTATTTACCGTTTCCAATGGGTCTTGTCAAAGCCGTTCAGAATTTAGTAAGTCTTAGTCGGGGCCCCACTTTATATCTCGGACGAATTAGTGCTTGATATACTAGTATATCCTCAAAGTGACTCTCGGGCCTCCCATGCGGCCTCGAGCTGATATCGGCCCTCTTGCCCCGCCCCGTGTGACAACGCATACCTTGCGGTACATGTGAGCACATCGAGGTTTGCTCAACCGACATGTGTACAACTGGACACGATATACAGGTATATGACACCGCGTACACGTAAAACTAGGTCATGTTCGAAATTATTATCAAAAAAGATGTTTCCGTCGTCGCCCAGACTCTCGCATCGTCGGCGATCCTCGTCGCTGTTGGTTCGGTGGTCTTTATTCGATGCACCCCGCAAGAGAAACCTTTTTGTCCTTTCCACCGATTCACCTCAACGCCCATTTTAATCCTTTCGCATCCCCGCGCCTCCTCGCTCGCCCATTCTCAACATGCAGAACGAAAAGGGAGATGTCGTCGATCTCTACATCCCGCGGAAATGGTAAGTTGCATCCCCGCGCTGCTCTCACGAATCGCCAAGAGAAACGCGCGATACAGCCCCGCGCCGCGGCGAGAGCCACAGGCGCAGAATGTGGACTAACCCCTTGACGCCCTTCGACCTGCGTTTGCACCGCTCCGCCGCGCCTCTCCCTGCCGCTTCCGTTTGCCCCCGGATCAAACTTCCGCCACCATCCGCGCCCCGCTTTCACTCACGCCTCGCTGTCGCACCCTGTTGTCTGCGCGCAGCTCCGCTTCAAACCGTCTGATCACCGCCAAGGATCACGCGTCCGTGCAGATCAATGTCGGGCGCGTGGACGAGAACGGCGTCCTGACCGGCGAGTTCGACACGATCGCCCTGTGCGGCTTTGTGCGCCGCAAGGGCCTCAGCGACGACGCATTCTACCGCCTCGTCAGGGATAAGGGATTCTTCGACGAGACCAAGTAAGAGTACCGAGCTGTCAATAAAAAGCCCACGCTGTCGTTGAGGTATATTCTTGCGCGCGACATGACTTGACCATCTTGCTGGTTTCACAGGGGGCCGTATCGCGCCAGCACTGAACGCACCCCGCAGACGCGACTGTGCGTAGTGATCGCCGACGGACTGCGGATGGCGTAGGCAACAGAAACGCGGTTCCCAGTCAACGTGTTATTTAATTATGTGTGTTCCACACGGGCTGCCACATGTGCAACCGCAGTGGCGAAAGCTGAGCACCTCAGCTGCCGGTGCCTTTGGCCTCGCAGGGCGGCTGGTAAATAACTGTATATAGCTAGAGAAGCGGGGCCTGCTTGTCCTACGGACACGATTGGCATGCCTTGGACACCGCTCCGGCGGCAGGCGAGACGCCTGCGCCAGCGGCGCATGCGCGGCGGTGACAAACGAGCAATATAACAATAGTGGAGCCGAGCTTCTCGGGCAGACGGATGGCGATGTGTAGCACACCATTCGGCGGAGAGGAAGTGGCCGTTGGAGAGGCGCGACGCAAACGACAAATGCGCGTGCGTACCTTTCACAACCTGCCTGCTTCCCCTCGACGCCACGTCAGACGCGTCTCTCGCACGGGGTGGCGCCCCTCACTCCTCGGTGTCGTCCATCTCAAAATTTAGCACGATAACCGAGATGTTGTCTGTGCTCTTTCTTGCGAGCGCCTCTCTGACAAGGAGTTTTGCTACCTGCCTCGAGTCGAGTCCTCTGTCAAAGCCAGCCCGCGCGACATTCACCGCCGTGCCCTCGTCGACAAAGTCCCACAGGCCGTCACATGCCAGGATGACAAACTCGTCCATGTCGCCCAGCACTACCTCCTTGACGTCCGGTTTCGAGATGACGACCGACTTCAAGCAGTGGTCGCCGAACGCGCGCGAGACATTGAGAATACCCGACACCCTCTTCGCGAAGATGAAGCCGCCCGCGCGGAGCACCCTGCGGGCCTCCTTGTCGTCCACAGGGCGGTGGTCCGTGGAGAGGCGGATCGGGCGGCCGGCCCTGCTGAGGACAGCGCGGGCGTCGCCGCAATTGGCGGTGGTGAGAACCCTGCCGACGCGGGGGACTCTGCGCAGGAAGCAGGTGACGGCGGTGGCGCCGGTCTGGCAGCACTTCCTGGTCTTGAGCATGGCGTCCATCCTGCGGTACGCGGTCTCGAAGGCGCGGGCCGGCTTGAGCACGCGGTTGTTGCGCGGGTGGGCGGCGGGGGCGGGGCAGTCGTCCGAGTCGGTGTCGTACGGCGGCGACGAGCAGTCCGACGCGACGTCGTCCAGCGCGCGCTGGTGCAGCTTCTCCGGGGCCGACGGCGGCAGCAGCTCGTCCAGGAACAGGGCGTGCAGGTGCGAGCGGCACAGGTTGGCCGCCAGAGACCCGCCGTGGCCGTCGTACAGACCGAGGAAGACGGCCGGGAAGGAGTGGTAGCGCACCGCGGAGAGCGCGTCCTCCATGGAGGGGCGGTGCACAGGGTTGGCGTCGTGCGCGTGGCCGACGGTTGCGCAGAGCGCCGGGACTGGGAAGAGGGTCGGGGAGTGGTCGTGCGAATGC